AACGAATAACATTTTATGAATAAAATTGGGAAACTGTAAACCTCGACAAGCATTATAATTAGAATAAAACATGAGGTCGGTTTAGGGTTTCCGTGTTTTATTCATATTCTCCAACTTCGTTTAGTGTTCTCAAGACAATAGATTTTCCGCATTATGTAAACATGCACCGCCCTGGCAAGGGTTTATTTTGCTCACAAAAGCTTCCAGCTATTGACGTTAAAATATTGTTGGGTGCTACTGATAGGAGAGAATGAGCACGTAATTATATTTAAAATAGTTCATTACCACAGTGATTATCATCCCCCTTAGAATATTAGTCTCTGGAAGAGTAAACTCGTAGCGATCACTTGCTAGTATGTGTATACTACATTAAAATCCTTATTTCTACATCAGTTTTGTTAGCACAACGTCCAAACGTATTACCTCGATACTGTATAAATGAATTACATGTGTAGATTTGCAAGAAAATTTGGTATTCTAGTATCCATTTAATTAAATTAATGTTCTTAGCTGCTTACCTTCCGCCAACTTTGAAATCTCTGATGGAGTAAGTATTGTAAAGAATTTTCTAGAAATTTTTAGAGACATCGCGGCGCCATCAAGTCGAAAAAATATTAATCATCGGTGATAAGAAAGCGGATACGAAATGTGATATACCTACTTCGAGACACTTTCGATTTGCCATATAAGCAAATTGAATCGTTGATTCAATTTTTATTCAATGTTTTTTATTCTGGATCCAGTTATTCCAAATCAGCTACAGCTTGAGCGGATGCATATGGCCGAGCACGTCTGCCACATTTTGGCGCCCTTGCCACTGTTCTGTAAGGCAATCTAGATTCCTCAGAAGGCTCTTGAAGATCTTGATGACACTGTCGTGCTGTACGATCTCTGGCACATTCAATCTTTATCGAACTCCGTTGTTCTTGTCTTGAAAACTCGTGGCAACACGTACTTTACACCGCAAGCTAATACAAAAATCAGTACTTCGCATCACTCTGCATTCGCGTAACGTAGGAAGGATGAGCCTATTTGCTCAGAGGTAAAATAGGTATGTAACCAATGTGGGGTATACGCGGCATTCTATGGTTTCATTGCATGGCGTTTTTATAGCAGTGTTGCCACTATTAAAGTTCCAACTCTCGTATACTGCTGCGTACAATGGATAAGCTGTCACTATACCACCTACCAACCACCTGTCCAGCTACTCAAAACATCAAAATTGAAACTTAGGATTGAATAATCTCTCCTCGCACAAGTTCGGCATCTGTTCAACTTCCAATAATGACTTAACGTTTCTCAATTTGAGAGACATCTTACCCCGCACGCAGTCGGTGAATAAGATTTACAAATTGCAAATAAATCGCCAATCACAATAGATTCGATGGGACTCGTCCCGAATCTCTACTTCTGCTGACATAAAGCGCACAATTCCTCACAACCTATTTATCAATGTTAAAACATGTATGATAATAAAACCTCTTATCGCAAGGAACAGATGCGTCTTACTTCTAACAGCTTATCTAGATTGAATAATTGCAAAAGCGATAAAACTAAACGAAAAATTACGCATCTAACAAATTTCTAAGAGCAAAAACAAACACTGAGATACAAATTCAAACCAAACGAACTAACATTGTGTTTATTTCGTAAACAATCCGCCAGATTTACTTAATGAATTGAAATATACAGGACGTCCCGCCATAACACCAAGCGAGAATTTTTTAAAGCAAGGGTGAATTTCTTCAGGCAGCTTGTTGGGGGGGGGGGGGGGGGGGGGTTCAAAGGCCAATATTCCGGAGACGAGTTCTTAATAGCAACTTTACTCAGGAAAAATATTATTATATTGAATTTTCTTGGGAAATTAATGCTCCTTAAATATAACGTACGTTTGACAAATTTTTGTCATTTTCCTCCTAGAGACAGATTTGTGGATATAAAAGATTACAAACTTCTGCAGGATTTTACAACACCCTTATGAATAAAAATCGAGACATCCCATTATGCAGCTTAAATGTGGTGCACTTGTCGATTTCATTAGGAAGACGTCTAAACTTGAGTAACATTTAAAAACACCAAATATTTTCAGACGTCCTTTAGCCTTTGTGTTTGAAATTCTTTTCTCTCTAAGAGCTTTTTTGGGTCCTTTAATGCACATTTATTATTGAAGAGCCGTTTAATCTGAGATTTTAAGAGTGTTCAGGGCTTTTAGGAGTCGCTTACAGTCTCAGCCTCTAGAATCTTCTAGGCGCATAAGAACCTTGTTGAGGTAGTTCTTGTTTAAAAGTCTTTGAGATTTAAGCTTTTTTGAAGTTTCTTGGGTATTTAAGACTTTGTAAGAGTCGTCAATGATTTCAAGAAGATTTCAGAAGCTTACAGCTTGAAGCTTTAAACCAACATCTTAAAGCGTACGCGGATGCGAGCCGTAATTCTAAATGAAAATCAGTAGTTATTCACCTCAATTCACCACACCACCATAACTCGCTTATAAAAATATAAGAATAGTTGTTCTTGTGTACAATCATTTCGTTTGAAATGCGATTGGAAATCTCCTGTTGCGTGCCATTTGTATGGAATATTTCTGGCGTTTCAAATCAGCTCATTTATAGAAATTTATTAAAATCGTGTTGCGTGCAATCTAACCAGATGGATCCATAACCGCACGACTAGCGACGTCTATATGTGATATTGGAGTTTATGACGATGCCCAGAAGTGAGACTACTAAACTACAGTGAATTAATACACTCGGCAATTTTCAGGTAACCACCTCGCCGCTGTAATCGAATTTAATCAAGTGCTCTTATTTCTTTGAAAGCAAAGTTTACTTACAAATTTAGTTTGTATTCAACACTGACTCGCTCTGTTCAGAAACAAAAATAAGCAATTGAGTCTAAAGTTTGTACAAAATGGAAATATCTCCAATTCGCAATAGTTGGGGTAGCTTGAGACGCTTGTAGTTTTTTTTTAAGTTTTTATTCGAATCCAATACTGTACGAACTGCACCGATTGAAATGACATTTTCAAATGCAGTGAAATGGATGGCAATCTTCTTCGAAACTTTAAATTGATTCAATCGTAAATAAACTCATTATGTTATTGTCTAACCAAGAACCTGATTTGAGTTTATGTAGTTTTTAATGGCGTTGGCAATGGGTAATTGAAAAATGCACTCTACCCGTTATTTGGTTTTCTGTGATTTTATTACTATTTTATTTTTCATTTTTGGAGTAATGTGAGTTGAGGTGCTTGAAAAATGTTGCCTAATGGATATTTGGTGGTTTAGTAATTTACATTTCATTTTATAAATTACTAGCAGTGTAATAATAATATTTTACTGTGATTGTGCTTTAATCTTTTATAACGTGGGTCGTGGGGTTACCTCTGCGCTTATGCTTTAAATTCTAATTAAAAGGCATTTATTTATTGAATAGCTCATAATGAAGGCTAATAACGTTCAACAAACATAATAAGTTAACAACAACAAAAACTTTGATATACATTTTAACAGTAAAACGTGTGAGAACTTTCTACGTGTTCTCGATGCTGAGATCTGAACCCGTTACATTTGAATTTGTAATGGCTCGTACTAAACAAGGTGGCTGAAAGGTTGAAATGGTATGGAGACCAACGTTTTGTTCTCAAAATGATATACTTATTGTGAAAAGATTATAAAATGAAGGTTCTAATCAGATATATCAAAATCTCGTGTCACGATGTTTGTGGTCGCACTCCTCCGAAACGATTTTTATAAATCTTTTAGTGTTGAAAACACTTCTACGATGCTAGTTTCGAAGCTTATATGTAACGTTTATATGAAACGTTCGAATGTTAAACCGCGAGGGTCATCTAATATCACGAGGATGTTATGACGCTTATGAACGAGCTCCTAGCCAGTTTATAATTTTGATATGTCTGACAAATTTGGAAATCGGAGTTCCTAAATTCGTAATGAAGATTTTAAAGATTCTAAAGATTCTAAAGATTCTAAAGATTCTAAAGATTCTAAAGATTCTAAAGATTCTAAAGATTCTAAAGTTTCTAAAGATTCTAAAGATTCTAGAGATTCTAGAGATTGTAAAGATTCTAAAAGTTCTAAAGGTTCTAAAGATTCTAACGATTCTAAAGATTCTAAAGATTCTAAAGATTCTAAAGATTCTAAAGATTCTAAAGATTCTAAAGATTCTAAAGATTCTAAAGATTCTAAAGAGATTCTAAAGATTCTAAAGATTCTAAAGATTCTAAAGATTCTAAAGATTCTAAAGATTCTAAAGATTCTAAAGATTCTAAAGATTCTAAAGATTCTAAAGGATTCTAAAGATTCTAAAGATTCTAAAGATTCTAAAGATTCTAAAGATTCTAAAGATTCTAAAGATTCTAAAGATTCTAAAGATTCTAAAGATTCTAAAGATTCTAAAGAAGATTCTAAAGATTCTAAAGATTCTAAAGATTCTAAAGAAGATTCTAAAGATTCTAAAGATTCTAAAGATTCTAAAGATTCTAAAGATTCTAAAGATTCTAAAGATTCTAAAGATTCTAAAGATTCTAAAGATTCTTAAGATTCTAAAGATTCTAAAGATTCTAAAGATTCTAAAGATTCTAAAGATTCTAAAGATTCTAAAGATTCTAAAGATTCTAAAGATTCTAAAGATTCTAGAGATTCTAGAGATTCTAGAGATTCTAGAGATTCTAGAGATTGTAAAGATTCTAAAAGTTCTAAAGGTTCTAAAGATTCAAAAGATTCAAAAGATTGAAAAGATTCTAAAGATTCTAAAGATTCTAAAGATTCTAAAAATTCTAAAGATTCTAAAGATTCTAAAGATTCTAAAGATTCTAAAGATTCTAAAGATTCTAAAGATTCTAAAGATTCTAAAGATTCTAGAGATTCTAGAGATT